AATTTCATGATGGTATCATAAAAATCATTAATTTTTATGATACCATCTATGAGTGTGTCTGTTGAGTGCAGTTTTTCAACCATGAAGTGAATTCATACATTCACAAGGAACACTTAGTTGGAGGAAAGATTGTCGTCACTAGCCTTACTTTCGATAGAAAAAGAACTTTTAAATATGTTGATGGAATCAACAAGTGACTTTTATGACAAAGCAATTAATGACTTTGTGGAAAAAAATCACCAAATAGAGTTAATTTATAGAAAAAAAAAAAAACAAGTTTTTCTATAATTGTATTATGTCAATTTGTATTATGTATGTATTATTTATTTATTTTAATTTTAGAATTAAAATAAATAAATTGTTTATTTTTGTCATTTCCAGTATTTGTTTAAAATTTTTATGGAAATGTGAGGTTCCAGATAGGTCCAAACTGTCACAAAATATGCAAAAAAATGGTTAATTTAGAGAAAAATTTAGTTTAAAAAAAGATAGGAAAAAATCATTTGTAGTCGGACACCCATTTGTTTATATCAACTGCAACGCAGAAATCATAAATTGCTGAGGGAAGTCGTCCTATGATTAATGGAAGATCAAATTCATCTTCAATTTTGACTTTTCTTGCACTCCAGGTAGGAGTCCTGTTACACTTAGTAATAAGGGACCAGCCACTCAGAAAGCATGATTGAGAAAGAATGACCAATCAAAATAAACGAAAGAAAGAACAGAGATTGATATAATCCCCAACAATCAAGGATACCTGGCACTCAGTTAGTTAATTAGTGTTCTGAATAACCAAAACACCGTGTATTAATGCACAAAAAAAATTCAGTTTCTCATCTATTGTGCCAACCTGTAACCCTGCCACTTCAGACTTAAGCCGTGTCACCGATGCCAACAGATGTAGTCTCCCCACCTGTCTTTTAGACATGTCAATGCCACTGCCTTAGGACTACCTTCAATAGACGATCAAAGAATCTCAACAACGCCCAGGACGTCCAAACAGCTGATTGTCCTAAAGCAAACTATTTTGTACATAGTATAAGTTTATTTTACGTTAAAATAAACGGTTTTTGTTAGATACTTGTCTCCTCCGCCACCACTTGCATACGAACGGACCCTAGACCATCACTGATAAGCAATTAATTGATTGTCCTGGAAGTCGGCTTCTTACAAAACACAACTTCCCTATCATTAAATGTCACAGTATGCCACTGCAATCAAGTAAGTAAAGGTAAGTGTAATTATAATCCAAAATACCCTATACAAATTGGGTTAAATGAAGCATTTAAGGATACATATGACCAACTCAAGTTAAGACTCATCTAAAAAGATAAGGACCTCATTTCTGGTGAATGGTGTTACAATTGTGGTGTGTGTGTATCCAGAATCAATTAAATTTAAGCTCTCTTAAATGTCTCGTTGTTATTTTTTTCATGTTGTTTTCATTATCTGTATATATTCCTCTCTTCTGTCCTTGTTCATAAGTTAATTTTCAGTAAATATTAGAAATTCTACATATTAATGTCAGATTTTTCAAGTGGCCATATGTTATAAAGTCTATTTTGACAAAAATATTAAATGTAGGTAAAATTTTACTCCAATTATTTATTTAATTATTTAGTTTATTGTTTACATCTAACTACACACTACAGTCTGACAGTTCAAGCAATTTTATTGCAGAATATATACACAAAAATATGGTAAATATGTGAGGTTCCAGATAGAGTCCGATCCCATTATTGATCACCCTAAAAACGTTTAAAGATAAAATAAAAAGGAAATCGTAATGAATAAACACAATACAAAAGTAAAAAGGTGGGTCTTGAGTGCAACTCCTACACGTATTAAGCAATAGATCAGTATCAGGCCAAAGAGTTCAAACTTTGACACTGATGGTTTGTATACAAAAGATCAAAGTTAAACTGAGTTAAGAAATGAGGAGGTTTGATGAAAAGAAAATGTTGTGTTCAATCGTTAAAATTCCAAAATGTCAGGAAAGAGAACGTAACCAAAAATACAAGCACAAATTTTGAGTTCCATCAACATCTCCCAATCAGAGTCAAAGGATGGTGTCAGGTTGAACATTTAAGACAGATCTTTCTTGTGACCCAATCCAATCTGGAATTTTTTATTTCCACCTGGAAACACGGGAGGAAACCAATCAGAGAACGATGAGAGGGAATCAGGACCAATCAGAGGAGAAAAGTTTGGGATAAAATCCGTTAAATAACCCAGATTTTAAGGTTGAAATGCAGATTTCAGACAATGTGTGCCATCCAAAGTGATCTGTGTCTCTCTTCTTGGCTTGTGTAGTATCTTCATTGCCAAAGTTTCAACCTTCATTTTGTCTACGCCATCCCGTGACACTGACACTGCCCCTGGGCCCCCAACAAATCAATAACATCATCTCATTAGACTAATGATTTTCATCATAGGAAACAAGAAGAAATACCATGTAAACTTTTCATATCTAAAATAAACAAGTTCCATTTGTAAAGGTATCTGAGTCAGTATCTCCTATACCACTGCCCACAGTTCTACACCCCTCGTACATCCCAATGCAAGTTTAATGAACTCCCCCTTCTGGATCAACAAACCCACAAACACCACATGACACAAACTTATTTCTATCTTAATGGAAAGGAAAATTATATAATCACAAATAGTTAAAGGATCATTCTCAGAGATAATGATATTACACAGAGAATTGATCGCATCTAAAGAATTATTATGCTGCATTTAATTTACATGTGCACTGAGGTTTGAACTAAAGCAGAAAACACATCAAATTAAACAATTTTGATATTTTTAATCAAGTAGTTCTTATTTGTTTAACAGTATAGTGCAAAGTTTCACATTATAATTGTTTTCTGTAAGATTAATGTATCTTACAAATAATTCTAGTTAAATGCTTTATTTTTATTTTATGAAATTTATTTCCACACATTATTCTCATTGCTTTATAATTTAATTTTGGTATCAATATAAAAATATTTATATGCTTATGAAATAAGCAGCCATAAGTTTTAACTTCTATTTATTTTTCCTCTATAATTTTAACCAAATGTTAATAATATTTCTATGAAAATTTATTAATCATCATTTAGCCACAGATAAAACAATACATACAAATGTATTTTGTTGTAATTAATCTTTTACAATAAATCTAAATATCTGTTCAAATAAAAAATATTTACTGATTGGTAAACTATAATGTGCTACATTCTGAATGAATTAAAAGAACTAGGTAGTATTATTTTATTGAATACTTAGCTCATAACAGACTATTATTAATACTTGAAAAAATATATCTTTGAGTACAAATCAGGTCTTATTTTTCTTACCAACAAATGTTTTCCGCTCCTTTGATAAGCCTGCTTCATGTCTGTCAAAGACTGTAAATGTTGATGTTCTGTATTAGAATTTCCACTCAAATGATCACTCAAGCAGACATTCCAATATAGAATATTGACATTTAGAATCTTTGACAGACCTGGAGCAGGCTTAACAAAACAGCTGAAAACCTTTATTGAAAAGAAAAACAAGACCAGAATTGTACTCAAAAGTGTGTTTTTCAAGTATATAATTATTATTCTGGCATAGATTCTATTATAGTTATTAATATTATCAGAAATACCTATATAAGAAGATCACTATTCACAAAATGATGAATAATAATCCTTATAGACCTTTTATCCTTTATGAATATTGTCTATATAAGAATATATTATAATAAATTTATTTTAATAAATAAAAATGTATTTTTATTCTTTCTAAATCTTTAATAACAAATCTAAAAATATAAAATAATTTGCATATTTTTATAATAAATATTTGCAACTCTTCCATTCCAACATTCAGAAAAAATAAATTAAATCAAAAAATATAACTCCAGCAAATAACTTATTTCAAATGCTTTTGATCATATTTAAAGCTCTTTCTCAGGTAACATTACTCAGAACAATATGAGCATCAAATGGATGCAAAGAATAGGACATAGTTCAAACTGAAGAATGTTACAAATTTGGAATGTATAAACTGTCATATGTAGGGACATAATCCTAACAAAAGATGTTATCATGTCTAAAACTTCATTACATGAGCATGACAACTGTGTGGAGTTAAAATAAATCACTTTTATGGAGTTACATGGTTTTGATTCAATTAGTGTTTCCACCTTTTCAAAATTGCTGACCCAGAAAATAGGTTTGTTCCAACACAAGTTCCTAACTGGTTTGAATTTGAAACCGTACAAGGCATGCACAATGTCATTTTACATCCAAGAACTGAATAATGCACATGCCAGTTTTAAACCAGTTAGGGACTTGTGTTGGAACAGACCTAATATTTGCCAGAGATATTTGCAAGTTAGAATTTTAAAAGTACATTTTCTGTCACTCTTAGCCTAGGGATAAGATGAGAATAAGTTTGGGTGGGGTTGTGAAGTTAAAGTGTTTAACTGTTAAAATAAAATACTCACAAATATTTTTATAAATTTATTTTGTTTTATCATAATTTCACGATTTCTATGAAAACCAGACAAACTAATAATCAATCNGTTAAAGTGTTTAACTGTTAAAATAAAATACTCACAAATATTTTTATAAATTTATTTTGTTTTATCATAATTTCACGATTTCTATGAAAACCAGACAAACTAATAATCAATCCAGACCATGAATTTAAAAACCGGCCTGGTGGCAACACTATGATTCAATTGATTTATGTTATCCAGTTTGGTCTGGTTTATATTCAGAAAGAATTCAAAAACATTTATTAAATTTGATAAGTGCTCAATTAATTAATTTTACTTTGTTTTATTTTTTTTTATATTTGACATTACATTTATATAGGCAAATCTGAAAATTAAAGTTTACAATAATGTAAAAATCAAAAATCTTACGATATATTTTTCAATAATATAAAACAATTTAATTCTATATTTAATAAATTAAGTATGTATTAAAGTAAGTTAAAGATAAAAACATCTTAAATCATACCTTTATTAGTTCTCTCCATAAATAATTTTTCTAAGTTTCCATCTTGAGTAATTTCTTGATAGTTTGATTTATTAAATAAATTAGATGTCAAATTATTATTTTGAGAAAGCATATTAATTTTAAATTGTCTATTCTCCTCAAATGTATCATTTTGTTTATCCTTGCTTAATTTAATACTGGTTTCAGAATTTTTATGTTCATCAAATACTGTAGAAAATGATGATTGTAATGTTTCTGAAGCTTTTAACTCAGATGCACTGTCAGGTGAAGAATCTTCATTACAATCTAGTTTGTTCTGTCCCATAGAATTTAAAATACATGTAGCAGCTCTTTTCAAAAAGGAGACTAACTTTTTTGGTCCATGGGCACTTTTCAATCGACTTTTCTGTCTATGAGCACGCCATAATAATTCTTTTCGATTACTATCTGAATGAAAACGAATGACATGATGTCGTAAATTTCTTTTCTCACTAAATCCCCTTCCACAAATTTTACAGGAACATGGTTTTATGCCAGTATGTACTCGTTCATGTCTTTGCAGTGAAAATACACGATCAAATATTTTAGGACAAAAGCTACATTTATACACAGGTTTATTTATTGGAACTTTATTTAAGTTTTCCACTGGTGATTTAGCTGATGTATTATTATTAATTATTTCATTTATTAAAGAATGTTGAGAATTTCCAAAAAATGGCAAATTTCCAACAGTTAGGAAAGGATAGATATTTCCTGAATATCCTGCATAAATTTGTTGTATCATTGACCAATAGGGATCTAGTTTATTAAAACCGGAGACTGATGGTGTTTCTTGATTAATCTGATTATCTACTTGAGAACACAGTGTTCCAAATGGTGTTAGAAACAATCCTGGTGTTAAAGATAACAAAGAATTTGTTTCAATAGCTTGGTGTAATTGATTATGTATCTCAAGCTGTCCATCACATTTAAAAATTGCACCACATTTTCCACAATTTTTTTCTTTATTATTGCCATGACCTCCTACATGATTATGAAGAGTATCTAGTGCAGAAAATACATTTCCACACAGACAGCATTTATATAAAACATAAGACTGTTTAGTAGTAGGATGAATTCCTTCCAATTTAGTAACTAAAACTGTTTCATCATCAATTCTAATGTTATTTTTCAAATGAGATAATTCCTGTAATGGAAAATTTCCATTAGATAATGAATTTATCAGTGGAAAATTTATATAAGGAAACAGAGGTAAAGAGTTTAATGTTGGATTAAGACAATTAGATATCAAGTTACTTTTTGAAATTGTTTCGCATTCTTTATTTTCTATTATTGTGTCACCTTTATTTTCTAAATTTTCAGAATTTGATGAATTAATTTCATCTTTATCAGTAATATTCATATCTATTTCATTACATTTATTAAAATCAGAAACTTCAAAATTATTTATTTCACTCTCAGATTTTGTCTCAACCATATTTACAAATTTTTTAGCTTCATTTTTTGACATTGAATTTTCTTCAGAATTACTTGTCAGAGTATTTTTATTTGCAATTACTTTTTGTAATATACTTCCATTATGAAAATTTGTTTTTTTGTTCAAACAATTTGTATCAGATAAATTTAAAAGTTGAAGAAGATTCTTATTTTTGTTTTCATCAATTCCATTTTCCATTACTTGTTTATGTGAATTTAGAACTTGAAGATCAATAAGTGTATTGGCAACTTCTAATTCACGAAGAGCATCAGCAAAAAAATTATTTATTCTTTTATTTTTCCAATTAAAATTGTTATTTTTTATTATATTCATGGAATCACTTTGTTTATCTGATATCTCAGCAACACAAACAGAATTATTAATGTTTCCATTGGAAATAAAATCATAAATTTCACTATCTGATTCACTGGTTGAGTGCACTGGTTCCTGAGTTGGAAATAAATTGTCTTGCAATGAAACAATGTTTTCAATCACACAATGGCAAAGATAGAGATGTGTTTTTAATTTTCTCTTATTTTTAAAAGATTTTAAACATAGAGAACATTTTAAATCATTATCTATTTTTGTTGTAAAAACATGACATTTATCATGAAGTTTTTCATCTTTAGGTATGCTTTCTTCATGAACAGCTTGATTAGATTTGTTTAAATTATATGATTCTTTTATAGTATTTAAATCATCCTGTATATTTTTTTCTTCAGTTTGTTCATTGCTAATTAATTTTTTATTGTCACCATTTGTTTGATTAATGTTTTCTTGTATTACTGCTGTTATTGCAGTATTTTCCTTAAGCATACTGCTTTCACTGTCAAATTTTTCACTCATTTCACTTGGTTTTATAATCAATTATTTTAATCATAATTAATTTCAGTTTGAAATATTAAGGAAATCTTCTATTTCATTTTATCTGAAAAATCAAAATATTAAATTTAATATCTCCATAACTGAAGATTTTTTCAATTAAAGTGAAATTAGGTTATACTAAATATAATATTAAATCATGTATAATACAAATTACTTCTACAGAAATTTAAATTAGAATTTTATGCTCATTTTATAAGCTCTGTATTTTCCTTATAAGACTGCCCATAAATTACATCCACATATTTCTCAAAATTTTTACTTTCCCTCCCCTCCCCTCCTCTAGTCCCAGTTCGTTCAACTTTCTGTAACTCCTTCCTTTCTCTAGATATCCAACAAAACAACCCCTCTTAAAACCTTTATCACTTTATGAATGATAGATAACATAAGTAGAAACAAAACATACAAGATACAAACTAATAAAATGCATAAATTGTATAAAATTTAATGAAATAAACGGACTCTTTATAAATCTCTTTTTACTCATTTGTTTACTCATTTAGCTATAAAGAGAAAAATAAAAAAAAGGACATTAGCTAATTACATAATGAAATTCAAATGGAGTTTAAAAAATAGCAACAAACTGAACCTTAAAGAAATTCCAGGATATTCTTTTGTAAATTCTAACATTTTCGATCTGCACAGGAGATCTTCCTCAGGATTCTCTAAATTGGAATGTGGAAATGTAATGTTTTTAAGAATTATTTGAAAAAATATATAAATAAGAATTTTTTAAAGAATTCTCTCAAAGTTTTTTTTAAAAAAAATCTCTTCAAAATAATTTTTTAATTTGACTGTTTCCTGTGGTATAAGGATTGCCAGGAATCCCTTCCTCTTTGAAATTAATGCAATGACTGCTTTTTTCAGATTTGAATATTTTGAGAGCTTCCAGTGTCCTTATTTGGTCGTCATGCTTAGATTGTCATATGATAGAAGCTTGGTCTAGATGGGCTTGAATGTCTGCAGCATACCTGACCATTGTATGCTGCATACCTGGCTAGGACGATGTTGTATTTTCCTTTACTAATATCATACTTGTGTTCTGCCAGCCTTACTTTGAGTGATCGTGTAGTGGCGCTGATGTACTCAAGATCACACTCGAATCTATTGTCTCTCAGTGTAATCCTATAAACACCTGAAACCCTAAGCATGTTGATGTTGTCCTTTCTGTTTCTGAGGATGTTATAGATAGTGGGAACATGCCTATATGCTAATTTATCACCTCTGTAAAGGGCAATTTCTTTATATAAGCTTTTCATGTTGTGGTTATAATCTAGATCAAATCTGAATAAAGCAGCCATTGCATTAATTTCAAAGAGGAAGACAATTATCTTACGCCAGGCAAAAAGAACAGTCAAATTAAAAAATTATTTTGAAGAGATTTAAATTTGATTTAATCAATTTAAATTTATTTTAAAAAAATTTTTTGAGAGAGAGAATTCTTTAAAAAATTCTCATTTATATGTTTTTTCAAATATTTCTTAAAAATGTTCCATTTCTGCATTCGAATTTAGAGAATCCTGAAAAAGATCTCCTGTGTAGCTTGAAAAAGTTACAGTTTACAATAGAATATCCTGGAATTTCTTTTAAAGTTCAGGTCGTTGCTATTTTTTAAATATATTCCAGGCTTGCAGAGTTTGAGCTACAAACGGAGTTAGTAGAAAAGACTACAATTAGTGGAAATTCTGGTTTCATTAATTCTGACATTTAAAAAAAAAAGCTAAAACTATTATAAACTCTAACTTGAAAATCTATTAATTATAATTTATTTACTTATTTAATTCTACATATAATCTGGTAATATAGTTGTCAACTTTCAAAGATACAAATTCTGAACACAGTGTGAAAAAAACACTAACTTGAAATGTAACGAGAGACAAAAAAACCTACAAACTAGAGAAAATTTTTTTTTGCCCTTGATGATGATGATGATGATATAGTCAGACGGCCAAGTTAGTTAAGATGTCAGCCTACTGTTCTGAGAACCCAAACCAAACCAGATGAACAACCCCAGAAGTTTTTCTGTTCCAGATAAGGGACCATCCATAAATTACGTAAGGGCGATTTCGGCCATTCTAGACCCCACCCACCCGTGTAAGAAACCATAATATTTTCTTTGATCCCCTCCCCTTCCCTATCTTACGTAATATTTTATAGAAAGATTTTAACCAAAAAAATTTTTTTTATGAAACCCTAAAAACCTTAGGTTCAAAATATATAATTATTAATTAGTTAATTAATATGTACTATTATTTATAAAAGATTTTATGTGAACAAATTTTAAAATATAAAAATTTAATGAATTTGAATGAACAATTTATTTTAAGAACTTTATTTTTTAATTATTAACATTATTATTATTATTATTATCATTAATCAACGTCATAATATTTATTTTTATATTAATTTTAATTTTTGCAAAAGACGCAAAAACTTTGCCAGATCGACTAGCTAGTGCACGTGTAAACAGAAACATCATACAAAATGAAACAAGAGAGAATAGAGAGAAACCACATTACTTTGCCATATAGATTATATCTTGGCTAAGGTCAAGAAAAATAACTACATGCTACTAAAATGTGTTAGGTGCACTGGGGAATAAATCATAAAGCTTGTAAAACTCTATATAATGAGACAATACAACCAAAGCTACTTTACCCGGCCTCTGGCTGTGGTCATGTAACTAGTAAAAATTCAGTAGCAAGTAAATTACTCTCTTTTCAAAGCCAGTTTGACATTAGAATTTCAAAGTGCTGCAGAACTATTTTTACTAATGCAGAGCTCCTTCCTTTACCACTATGTATTGTAGAAAAGGTTCTAAACTACTACATCAGAACTATCTATGGCTGTTCATATCCTACCACATTGCAATTACCCTACTATCTCTGATCATCATCCTGTAAACAAGGTTATTTGGTGTCATCTGCTTCCTCCATGGATAATCATACAGACATTAATATCTACACAGATGGGTCCAAAAGCTCCCTTCTTGTTGCTCAAGTATCTGTATCTTCCTCCAAACTGACATATTTTGCCAAAAATATGTTAGAAGGTACAGATACATCCCACATACCTCTATCTTTCAAGCTGAAGAAGATGCTGACTACCAAGTTGTTCAGTGGGCCACTTCACTACCAAACGAAACTCTGTCTATCAACATTTACAGTGATTCTCAGTCTGTCCTAAACGCTCTATTAAATCCCAACTGCAATAGCAATAAAATCACATATATCCAGCACCATACTAAAAATCTTATAAATAAAATAACTTTAATATATGTTCCTGGTCATACTGGCATACTAGGAAATGAAAAAGCCAACTTTGAGGTTAAGTCAGCTGCAAAGGACACTGATTTGGACTACACTCACATCCTTCTCTCATGTAGCAGCCTTAAAAATTATATTCGTGACAATGCTATGCAAAAGTGGAATTAGTAAAAGTAGTTGAGCAGTAAATCTGGTAGAATAACAAGACTTTATTTTCCTAGTGTTGAATGTAGGTTCTCATCACTATTTAGAGATTTAATGTTTGCTACTGCTCAACTACTTACTGAGCATGGTAATTTTAGAAGCTACCTGGTGATGTAACCGGGCAGAAACTGCTGCTTGCTTTTGTGCTCTACAGAAAACCTAGACATCGTCGACCATAAGATCTATCATTGTCCAATTTACAATCAAGATAGACTTATTCTGAAATTAGAAATTTTTATGCTTGGTTTCAGGTGGCCATGTCCACTTGATAAGCTTGTTCAGAAACCACTGTTTGATACTTTTTACAAATATATTCAAAAAATATGGAAGAAAAGACTATTTATAATTTCTAATATCTAGTTTTAGGTTTTAGTTTTCACTAAAAGCTGAATACTAATTTTATGTTTACTTTGTATCATGTAATTTGGTTTATGTATTCTTAGTGTTATATACCCATAGGAGTGGTGCACTTATTCTAATAAAAAACAAGAGAGAGAAACCACCGCACAGCCTTTCTCCCATGACAAAAAATGTGTAGAGCATGAATCTGCTAGCATTATTACTCTATCATGTCATATGAGACAACGAGCGTTCTTAAATAGAAACTGCCAAATTGAAGCCAAATTCAAAACGCCACCACTCAACGAGATCAAAAAATAAAAATAAGAATATTACGTAAGATGAGATCTATTACCCCCTACCCGAGTAAGAAATCCTTGATCCCCACCCACCCCAAAATACCTTACGTAATTTATGGACAGCCCCTAAGTTAAGTTCTGTCCCTCACCACCTTGCTGCTCTCATGATGGGTATGATTAATGCAAATTCTCTTAATGCCCAAAGGACAGAGACACCAAAGTAAAAACCACACACAAATTAGTGCCACAGAAATAAAAATAATTCAGATTACAATTAGGGATGCTGACTTCTCGTGAGGAAAAAGGAACAAGCTAAAAAAAACCACACTTCTCATTCATTTTTCAGACCATTTCTAACCAGTTATTGTTCTCCAAACAATCTTTAAAAAAGAACTGACATTCTGCATAGTTCAAAAAATTCTGAAGAGCTAGTGACACTATCAAGCAATGTTCCAATACATGTAAGAATGCTGCAAATAATACAACTAATAAAACTCTAATTTAAATAATACAATTAATACTCTAATGAAAATTAAAAATAATGTCAATATAATAAATAAAATTTTAAAACACNACTTTTTTAATAAATATATGTCATTTTTTTTATAACTATTGGGTTTACTGTATTTTGATGAGTATAAGTCGCTGTCAAGTATAAGACGCACCTCTATTTTGAGACAAAAAATTTAGAAAAAATCTTTTTTAATGGAATTGTCTAAAGATGCATTTTATTCGTTTTTTTTATTCAAGAATATGACGGATGGATGAATCGATACCTTTATTAAACTGAAATAATCAGTTTAATAAAGTTTAATGGAATTGTCTAAAGATGCATTTTATTCGTTTTTTTTATTTAAGAATATGACGGATGGATGAATCAATACCTTTATTAAACTGAAATAATCGTCATTTCTTAATGTAAACCAGAAGTGACGTGA